GGCATCAGAGCGACTCACTTTTTTTACTTTTATCACTTTTGTAGGAAAAAACAGACTACGACTGTCATGAGCACATCTGATTCTGTTTCCTTTAAATTATGTAATGGAGTCGATTGTCTACGATGTTTACTTGTTTTGTAACTTTTCGTTCCCCAAATTTTGTTCTTCATTGATTTTCACTATAAGATCAGTTTTCTCTATAAGATCATGTTTTTAACCTCTTAAGGGAATATTATTATAGATAAACGATTTAATTTTTAACGTATAAATTATTTGAATAAGATTTATTATTCATTTCTTTTAAAGCTGATTTTTCTAACTATTTTTGACAATTAAACTGCTCTCATGCCTGTAAATCGCAAATTTTTATTCACTTTGTAGAAACGTCCACGTACACATTTCGTAAATCCAAGATGTTCAAATTGTCTATCGTGTTATTATTCTGATATAATCTGATATTCTGCTTTTTTTAATGCCAAATTTAATTCACAATTAAATGTTCGCCTCGTATTCAACAAGCTTATACAACGGCTTTTGTCACACCCGTTACATTCGTGGATCTGCGATGCAGATGTTGCGAATTGTTGTCGCGTATCATTCCGATTCCGGGGAGGGTGCGCTTTTGTATTATCGTCAATATTGACCGTGCTGATTGACCCTAGAACACTCGCGCTGCGTCCGCATCACCTGCCTCTTGTATTCACGTCGCTTCACCGCGTCGCGCGCGCGAGAGACAGGGCTGTCGGATGATTTTCCGTCGTTCGTATAGCGGCCGTGTGGAAAAAAGCAGACATCACTCCATGTTTTCGATTTATAGCGAATTACTCGCGCGCCTGTTGTCCGCCTGTTTCAATCCGCGCGGAAAATGTATCGATGGATTCGTCGGTGAATTTTATGATTTTGAGCGCGAACGAAAAAGAAGGAGAGAGGGGAAGGTTATAATTCCGCTAGAGTTTAATATATTTCTCGCACGGAGCATATTTAATTTATATTTAATTTCTAGATCGCGCAACCTTTTGCGAATTATATTACAACTCGTATTAATTTTACGTCTGGGTTTATTCGATTTAGCGAGACAGATTTTCGCGAGTAATCACGAACAAGCGCGCAACTACACCATTTATTTCGTACAGGAATCAAATTGACAGAATTCACGTACAGGGAGGTCGAACGGGTTGTATAAAAAATTAATGACGGCAAGAGTCACGAACATGCACGCGATGTCACTTTCGCTCCGGCCGTTTGATTCAGGCGGCGATTTGTTATGCATTCAGATTCTCAAATAATATGAAATTCTCCCCTGAGCGTACGACACTCGTCCGAGGCACAAAGATATTCCGTGTTACTTTTCCAACTCAATTCAGCCGCAATATGGGGATTTTCCGCAAAAGCGAAACTAACCAGTGCAGCTGTTTTGACCGTCATGATTCGGAAGTGCCTCGCTCAAATCGGCTATAAGAAAGAAAATTTTCGTCGTAGCGAAAACGTTAAGCAAACCGATTGATTTAAAATATCGGTGAAAGTATCTGTGAGTTTGGGTAGCTGAGTACTACCGAAATACCGGGCTTATACTGACAGCACTATTTCAAACGCGCGTCTCATTTGCAATAGACGTCACTTTTATTCCGCGTGACGAAACACGCGAATCGCTTGAATATTGCGAATAGATATCGGCCCGTTCCCATCTCTCAGGCTGAGAACAATCGCAGCTTCGCGGAATTAATGCGGACCCGGTTGTAGTCCGACAGTTCTGAGCTTCCTGATGAAGTCGGTACGTTTATCTCCGGCGAGCGAGTCTATTTGAGCCTGCTCCTCTCAAAAGGACGGCTGGCGGATGAAATTCTTGAGACGTGGTTACACTTCTTAATTAAGATGTGTCAAAACGATACCAAACTTCGTGTTATCTGGCAAATTATTTCAGCTCCGCGTTCAACGGACTGACGTCGCGCGCTGTTAAAGGAAAGGAAAGAGGGATTAATTCGAGAATCTAATGAATGTCGTCGTCGTTCGCAGCGACGAAAATTTCACGCGAAACAACCCCACCGAAAAGTAATTCGAAGCGAATTGTACGGCCGCCGATTCGACTGCAATTTGTTACGCGATTATAGCCCATCCAGTTGGATGTCATCAGTCGCTATATTTATGGCGTTACGCAATTTCGACGAGAACTTTGCGAATCTCGGCAGGCTGTGATAGCCGCGCACAATAGAACGAAGCATCATCGCGACCGATTAATTGGCGAGCCTACGTCAATTTCATCACATCCGCCGATCGTACCTGGGTAAAAGGTAGTCCCGACGGGAGATGTGACGTCGCTGATGCAATTTAGAATGGGCTACGAAGGTCCATCAAAGCGCGAGTTTCCAAATTAGCCTGATAAGACGACAGAGGCAACGATGATGTTTATGAGGTGCGACATGCCGCGAAGGGTCAGCTCGCTTCCTCAACGAAAAGATAACATTTTGTTTTGTATCTTTGATATTATTATCTGAGATAACATAAACACAATGTTGAAAATTTAACACAAAAGTCTTAACAAGGACCGATTTTAACGCAAGTAAAATGTTGTTTTGTATCTATAATTCCAGACATGTGGGCGGGAAGAAAAATATTCGTTACTTTATCTGCGTTGCTGACGACTTTGTCGCGCGTTTTCCAGTAGTTCGTACCTCGAACGTGGCTGTCACCAGCGCCGCTGTGGCCACCTACGCGTCGGGTTTCTTTGCCGGCGACACCCGTTAATTAGAATTTGTGTCGCGAGTTTCACAGGTGACGTGCGTCAAAGAGCTGGTTGACGGAAGAGGAGGAAGAGAGAGAGAGAGAGAGAGAGAAAAGGACGTTCTCATTCTCTCGCGAACACGGATCTCTCAGATCGCACAGCGTGCACCAAGCGCGCATAGATTGGACTCGCTCTCTCGCGGTTGAAAAATTACCTGCGCGATTTTCGCAAACAGCTCTCGGCGCGACCGATTGACCGGCCGGCGTTTCACTCGTGCTGGCTCGGATTTCAAACCAACCATAAGCGATAGCGCTTGTTCGTTTTTATTCTCTCTCTCTTTTTTTTTTTTTTATGGTAATAGCGCAATTCGCTTTTGTAATGCACGATCACCGAGTTGTGCCGACAGAGCGTCGGCGATCCAAGTCGCGGAATGGGATCAAAACGGGGCGACAAAATCAATGTCGGATTCGTCAGCGCGATAAAGCTGGACCCTGCCGGTCGCGCAAAAAAAAAAAATCGAGGGAAAAACGCCGCTGTCGGTTATATATGAGGGAATTTGCAAAGCAGATTTCCTCGGATTTCGCCGAGGCTCGCGAATTTTTATTCCCGCCGCCCTTAGTGTCCGGGCCAGTTTCGAGGCTTCGCTTTAATTCCGCCGCTTTTGATATGAGCTGCCGGCCCGTTGACTTTTCGCGCGATTTGCGCGCGAGAAAATAAAGGCGTTCGATCTCGGCGCGCAAAAGGCTCGCGTGCATATTCATTATTAGCGCGGGCGTTGCGAAACGAGGCGGCCTTTGGTGATGTTTGCTGACGAGCGCGAAGAATAAACCGAGAGAGAGAACGAAGGAGAAGACAAGAGTATCATCAACAAAGGAATATCTTCCGCGAACCCGTCGGGAAGAAAGGTAAAGGCCGCCGCCGGCACAAAACATACTCGTAATTAAGCGACTTACCAGACTTTTTGCATCGCGACTGCGGGCAAAGGGGAGGATTGCGAGGCGCAAGTAAAAGATTGATGCAAAATTTTCCGTGCCCTTTGGAAGAACCCTCCCGGAAATTGCGCGGAGGACATGACCCTTAATTACCGGTGAAAGATCAAACACAAGCAGTTGTAATTCGTCTCAGATTGTTCGACCATCTTGCGCGTGACGACTTAAAGATGCGCAAAAAAGTTTGACCATAATGGAGAATATCGATCAATATATTTGATTGGTCGAAATCCTAGTGACTCAATCGAGATTACTTCTGCTTACGGTCATATTCACCAACACTTTTCTTCTCCCAGAGTATTCAAAGTAATATCGCGATCGTTTTTCCGGCTTAAGTTTACGTCTTATTTTTACGGCAAAGGCAGCTCGCTGATCAGGGTTGGGCGTGTTTCCGGGTAGCGGAATTTGCGACGACAATGCTGCCGATGGTAAGCAGAAAAGCGTCGGGGAGAAAACGCAAAACGGAGGCGGAGGTCGTAATTTATTAATGTCCGGGGAGCAATGCGTCGCTCCTTAACGCAAATAGCTTCCAAGCGCGAAGAAGAAACTTCGTGCGCAGATAGTGCCGTTAGTCTGCTGGTCTAAATAGGAGATTAGATCTTTTCACTCGTCAGGCTGTGCAACGACAGCCATCTGTGCGACATAATTTAATAAACGTACATAATCAAGATCCCGAAATGAGACAGCATCCCGAAAATATCATAGTATTGGAAACTAAATATCGGGAATAATCTCCCGAAATATTGGAAGAAGTTCTAACTTTGCGGAACAAATTCATTTTTTTCCAATATTTCGGGAGATTTTATTCCAATATTCAGTTTTCGAGATTGTAATTTTTCAGGATATTTGCGTGCTTTTGATATTTCGGGAAATTGTCCCGGTATTCAGTTATCGTGATTGACTTGACATACGGTACTTTTTCTTCGTAGGAATATGCATTTGTACGCTCTCTTAAATCTCGCATTTTTCGCGAAGCCTCGTACGAATTATTAGAGAGGACGTCCCATTGAGCTCCTCTTCCCTCGGAAGGATCGACGTACACGATTGGTGGCGCGCATCTTCCCCGTGCGTTATGACATCACGTGTCATCTCGCAGAAAGGAGCCAAGGAGAGCTGCATTTCTGCGGAAAATAACTGCATTGATTAGTCGAAGGTCGCCGCGTGGCTAATGAAGAAAGTATCTCGTCGCCGAGGAATCTCGAAATTTCTCAATACATCGCGTTGCGATCTTAATAGGAAGATGTCTTCTTACGGAAATTACGCTCGAAATAACCGTTGGACTTCTGTTGCAGAAGGTGGACCCTGAGCTGATATTTACGAAACAAGAACGGATCGGGAAGGGTAGCTTCGGCGAGGTCTTCAAAGGTATCGACAACAGGACCCAGCAGGTCGTGGCCATCAAGATCATCGACCTTGAGGAGGCGGAAGATGAGATCGAGGACATCCAGCAGGAGATAATGGTGCTGTCGCAATGCGACAGTCCATACGTCACCAAGTATTATGGTTCTTACCTCAAGGTAGGTGGAAAAACACGTCGGGTCTCTTAATCGATCGATCGCCGCCGCGAAGCCGACGAACGTGTGCGGCGCGCATGTAATCGGCCGATCAATTCCACCGCGAAACAAAACGGGGCACTCCTCTTTCCCCCTCTCTTCTTTCTCCATCGTTCTTCCGTCCCAGTGAATCACCGTGATAATCGGGCACAAAAATAAAACCCCGTCGCGCGCTATCGAGGGCACTTGGCCGTTACGCCCTGTCATTTTTCATACAGCGAAGAATAGAAAGGGCTTGACGATCAGTTAACTATCGCTTCCGGCCCGGCTGTGTCGCTTCCGCTTCCTGCGAGCGGGTTCAATGAGCACGATCGGGAATTACCGCAAGATTCATTGTTTTTCTCTCTCTCTCTTTCGTTGGTCTTATCAATCGTAAATTTCATGCATTAAGGACACTGGGATTTCTCATTATTCTACACTGAGAGAAAAATATTTGATATTAGCAACTATTTGTAAATATTTAATATTTCTAATTATAATCACCATAACGAAAGAATGATTGTCACTATAATATCAGTGATAACTTCAAAATCATTACATCTTTATTGGGATTCCAAGTAGTTTTCAGTTACTATTAAAATAATTATAATTTGTACGCGCGCCGTTCCAACGTCTACCTTGGATACCCTTCTCGTCGATTCGACGACAATTCAGCATGGATTTATTCAAGCACTGGAAATGTGTCGTAAGAGACGCGGGAGAAAGCATCCGCGCGCCACATGCGCCACGAGAGAATCATGCCGATCAACGGGATCGCGAGCGGAAAGGTTGCGCGCGCGGTCGTTGGTTTGCATAAGTCGCAGCGAAGTCGGTGAACCACGCGACCGTTTGTTGCATTGCCGGGCTATAGGAGAGGAGGAGGAAGACACATTGTCCACATTCTGAAGTGGATGACGGAATTTTTCAATTTTTCTCTCTCCCACGCTGCGTCTGATGAAATAGCTCGCTAATATACGGCGCGCGCTTCTCATTTATCGATCCCTTGGGAAATTCGCCGGTTTGACACGTCGCCCCGTTTTTTTATCTATTTTCTATGACGCTCGTGGACAGGGATTGATGCTTCGATTCAAGTATCAGTAGTTATACCGTTACTTGCATTACGTTTTACCGATTCCGCAATGACGATTGCTCGTAATAACGACGACCAATTACTCGACTGACCTGAGAACGTCGGTGAATAAATCATAAACTTGGCGAAAGGGGCCGTTATGGCGAGCGAGGTCGGAAGAAAGGGGAGGAGTGGGTATACAAAGTGAATCATCGCGATCGAGAATTGTTGAGGAACCGTTAATTGCAGCAAAGGTGGAAGGAGGATCGCGCTGTGTTCCGCTATGACTTCATGTCGAGGAAATGGATCGCTTTTCGCGAACTCCCCCTTCGTTTTCGAGGAACGTGAAAGCCGCCGGTATGATCACTTATGAAACGAAACAGCGCCCCGATATCGCGACCCCGGCCGAGAAGTTTTCTTAATGACCGCGGGAAACGGTCATTAACGATCGTTAGTTAGTCAGTCGGTTGCTCTCTCACGAGCGTGAGCGCCTCCAGTCGAAATGCATTCTCGCTAATTTGCACCATGACGTCCGGCTTGACGCGAGCGTTTGCGTGGATCAAGGGTTCTTAACCTCCCCCCTCTCTCTCTCTCTCTCTCTCTCGGAAAGGTCCATGAACCCGAATGAGAAATTTCTTTCGCGTTAACCCGTAATTGTTGGTTAAGCATCGACCGGCTGAAGTCTAAATTTATCTTTTCTGTTTCTCCGATATTCCGAGATGTAATTGGTTCTCTTTGTGACCCTCGGATGCTCGCAATTGATATCAGCGAGTCTTTACGAGTAGTAGACTTCTCGAGGTAAGAAAATGTTTGCGTCCACTACACTGCGTAATTACAAGACACCGAATACGACTGACTGAATATTCGCGCAAGTTAACAATTATTTAAACGGCGAAGGTTCCGCGTTGGCACCGACGCACACTAGTGCGCGTGGAAATCGTCGAATACGAAATATTAAGTTTGTGCGAAAAATTTATCGTTCCTTTGTGTGTGTGAGAAACAGAAGGGGGGAGAAATTCCGACTCGTAGAAAAAGTTAGTTTTTTCCCAATTTTTCCACGGATTTTTTTTTCTTTTTTACGGAAAGAAGTAAATGTGGGCGGGTTTTAATCGAAGACGCATAAAATTCTCTAAACAAATTTTTGTATTCTTGGTGCAGAAACCGAAGAAATCTGCGGAAAAATTCAGAGAGAGACGGCTTTTTTTCAGAATTTTGAAACAATACTTTGAAATAATTTTGCCTTTAATTTCATCCAACAAGCACGACGAAGCGAGATCCTTCTAATGTTAGAGCGAACGCGACCGTGTCATTTCTTCCTCTTTCGCCCTCCTCTGCGAGAGACTTTCCCGTTTCTTCGCACAATGCAATCTCTTGCGTGACACATCGATCACGATTATTGCGAAGACTGAGGAACGCGCGGGTGCCCACGCGTCCGTCTACGCGCCTGATGTCATCGCGTGTAACGGGTATACCGCGAACATGCATTGCGATTATCCTGTGTCGCGAGAGTTTCTCCCGTCTTCGGAAACTGTTATTAAAGCCGAGAGCAAGTCGGTCAACGGCGGTTATCGGGCCGCTCCTTGCATCGCGATCCCGAAGATGTTCGAATCGTCCATTAATTAATTCGATTATCAGTAACAGAAGGATCGATAATTAATCCGTTATTAATCAATACGGGGTTGATGATTCTCATCGCGCGCATACCTCGAGTTTCTCAACGCACGCTCGCGGAAACGCGTAGATGCGAAAACGCATAAAAGTTAGGCGAGGCTCTCTCGCGACGCAGGCACTCCTATCTGGCTTTCTCAATCCGGATGTATCGACGATTATGAGGGCGTCCACCCCGTCGTGATTGTCTGCTCTCGTCGCGGCTAAGAATATTGCTTCATTATTGATCTTCTAAAAATATTGTTTCGCCCGAATCACCGGATTGATGAAGCGTATGGTTCTTTTCACTTTAACACTTTTGTATGTAGAATGGCAACTGAAATCGATCGCTGTAAATAAACATAGAGCAGCCTTAGAAAAAATTCATTGCATTTTACAAACTCACCAATGATTAATATCAGTAGTCGATCTCTCCCATGTTACTATGCGAAAAAGTTAAGGTGATGTTATTGAAAAGTGAATATTTGATAAGATATTTCATATATCTCGTATTAAACAAATATCAGAATGAAAAGCAAAATAACTGGAAGGAAAGAACGCCTTTGTTATTCGTCATTTTAATATTTCGTCTCGTTATAGGAGGGATCATATTGTGCGGTATCGGAAATATAAAATTATCACGTAACGCGCTTTTTAGCACCGTCGTCGCCCGGCGGCGGCGTATCGCGGATAATTAGCGGAAGCACTTTTGCGAAACGGATTTTAACCTGGCGTGTAATATCTGGGCGGTATATGAGCAAAAATCCGCGACGCTCCTTCCCTTTTACCCTATTATACCCGGTTCATTGTGCTCCGCGAACAAAAGACAATGGCCGCGCCGCGGTGGAATGCTGCGCGTTCCGAAGAGGAGCGCCGGCCGAGATTTTATGAATGAACGGTATAATAATTGACCGGTTATTATGTCTCGGCGCTTCTTCATGAAATCACTTCTTCTTCGCCATTTGCTTTCTCACAGCGCGTTTCGCACGATTGCGCGTGTGGCTGTGTTTGTGCAGATTCGATTCACAGCCTCGCGACTAATTTGCGATCAGGAGCGCGATGGGCGCGTTGGAGAGACGCGTCAAGTAGGTCGATTTTCCGCCGCGATCATTGCCTGTACTTTACGATGGATCGATGACGAGGGGCTTTAACTCGCTGCGACCTTATGTTGCGCGATGCTGTGTTTTATCGCCGAAGTTGTTGTCGTTGCCGGAGGAGATACCTTCGATTGGTGTCATGGGAGTTACGCTTTGGTGTGGAATATAAAATTCCGAGTTAGGCAGAGAGGTGGAAATATCAAACTTTACTGAAAGAAATATTGTCACTATAAAGCTATTAGAAAAAAAATTAAAAAATAATATTTTCATATTTGTAATATTGTGTATATACGGGTTTACCTCAACTTTTCCATTGAAAAGATGGTCTTGCAGTTATAACGAAAATGATATACGAGAACATTGGGAACACGGTTCCCTAACGTCGCTGTAACCGACGTGTTAAATCGAATTCGCGGCGAATCGTATTGCGATGTATTGCCGATGAAAATCGGGGAACATCGATAACAATCCCTGAATCGAAATCGATTTTGAGCCCTTTTCATGGCGCACATTTTCCGTGAGGGTTACACCCTGACAAAATGCAACGTGTGGCGTGGAGACAAGAGCGCACAGGCGATGATTAATGGCCGGTCGATTTCGTTGCTTTTTTGACCGTTGCGTTATGTCCTTTTGTTCCTAACGTTTCGCGAAATGGCAGGAGTGCCGTTGGCATTGATGGACGACGCGACGGAATTAATCTTCGCTTTTACGATGTTCCACCTTTCCGTGCGGCCTCCTCGTCGCCGTTTTGTACGTTCGCTCACGTGGTTAAAACACTGAATTAAACATCGATAAATTCGGACACGCGAATAAATCGATCAGCCGCGGCGGGTGGTATTTTTTCGCGTGGATGCATCACACGGAGTGAACTGAATTTTTCAAACCCCTAAATTCATCTTCCCTCTTCCTTTTTTTATAATTACGTTAATTTACTTGGTTTTAGAGCGTGCAATTCCTCGGAAATAATATTACAATTTATCTGACAATCAAACGTATTTTGAAGGAAACAAAATTTCTAGTTCTAATGAATTAAATTTCGTCCGTGTAACTAGAAATTCAGTTTCCTTCAAACAAAACGCGTTGTCCATTGTCAGGTAGATTCAACCAAATTCATTTTTCAGTGCAAACGGTTGCACTCCATTTTCTTTTTTTTTTTTCCCGTAAAGAGAAACGACAAAAATTCCGAAAACAATGTCGACTAATTTTAGAACGATGCCGTGATCGGTCACCGACATTATCGCATTTTCGAGGCGGCTTTCTTCCCTCTCCCCGAAACACTGATATTATGTCGAACGCGTCGAGAGTGAAAGTAGCCGATTACCGCGCACCGTCAATTAATCGCAATTACCGCGTGGGGAGGAGGAAGACCCGGGGCAGGCAGTGGAGGGAGGGAAAAAATGATTCTCGACTATTCTCGGGTCATGTCGAACGAGAAATCCGGACCATTAGGAAATTGGCCGACTAATAATATAGTTCCCTTGCACGAGGACTCGCGCATAACTCCGTTACGTAACGCAATTCCTTCATCGTCGTCGGTGACGACTCGCGCGGATCCACGTGCGAGGCGAGTCACGTGCATTAATCGCTTGGGGGATAGTAAATTTAAACAGCTTCGCCGGAGGCTTTAAAATAATAGGGCTTCGACGACCACACGCGAGGTCTGCTTTTACGTATAATTATATCGTGACGTTAGTTTGGGTTGATATCGTAAAAACATATTTATGTATTTGGGTTTATGTTAAAAAATCAGTTCTCATAAGGCCTTTGTAATACATTCTTAATGATTTCCAAATGTGCTTTCTTAGAGAAGGACTTGGTGCTGCGCGATCGATATTCGCACGATCATCCTCGCGGGGCTCATTAACCCTCGTCCCTTTAATCGAAGATCAACCCAGCGATTTACTTTCTTATCAGCTCCGACCGTTCGAACTAATCGAGATAACATCTCTAAAACGTCGAGCGACCGCGCTCGGTCGTCACTTCCTCCCGTGTCAGCGAGGAGGAGACGAACGGTCTAGCAACCTGGGCTTTCGCGGAAAGCCGCAGAAATGGTTGAACGAACCCTCTCGCCACCTACCTCGAGGATCCCGAGGGGAAAAAGTAGTCCGAGCGGACCACCACGGTGACAAATGGCGCAGTTCTCTCGAACCCGTTTAAACTGCGAATATTATTCGCGTCGAACGAAAAACAGCGACCGAGACTGTGTCCGGTCTCTCGGAGGTTATTCAGAATGCAGCACGGAGTAAGTCTTCCTTCGGCCGTTTTTCTACTTCACACGGCGCTCTCTATGTCTGATCGACTGCCGGTCCAGGCAGTTCGCTGTTGGAGATTCTTAGGTAATGGATTACGTCGCGATTGACCGTGCCAGGACACTTTCTTTTAGATTTAGATTTTTTCATTTTTACTTGCGATTTCATTATCTATCGCGCGATACTTCGGCGCAAGAAATTCATAGCCGAACCGTCTGCTTCGACTCTCACTCGGCGCGCTGGGAAAAAAAGGAGAGCGTAACCGCAAGGCCGCGCCTCTGGGGGTCGAGCGAGTGGGGCAATTAATTGTTTCTTTATAATCGGTTGAGCAAAGGGCGTAAATCTTCGGTATCCCGGCGCTGATTATTAACGCGCGATAACTCATCGGCTTTATCGCCCTTACGCGCGCGCCACCGCCAACATCACCGACGCGCGTCGACGCGCGCTGTATAATTTATCCGATACCCCGTGAGTCGCACAGTGATTGGTCATCGATGTCGGATATAATTACCGTCGTGGATGAGAGGGGGAGGGAGAGATCCGCTGTGACGCGCGCGTGTTGCCTTGGAGAGCAACGAGAGTGGTGTTGGGGAAAATTAATAGGCCGTGTGGGAAACGACGCTTTCCTTAACGGCCACGCGTTAGACAATAATTTACAACTGCTCAAAGTGATAAATCTTCATTACGCGGAACAACCGCGTGGATTAATCATATCGTCTTGCGCAACCCCGACGCTCTCGCTCCGTATCGTTGACCACTTCGAACGATAATACCCATGTATATGAATATGATAATACCCATGAACGTTTCCTCATCAGATTGTCGACCGAATTTATATCATTGTATTCAGGGATGTTCTGCCGATATTTTCATTTCAATATCTTTGTATCGACATTTTCTTTCGTGTTCATATCGAAACTACCTTGTTTCGATATCTTCTCCTTTTTTTTTTTTTTACTCAGTCGATCTTCAAGGTATGCTTTGCTTCGTGAAGAGTAGTGTAATATGCAACTTACATTTTAAATCAATTTTTTCTCATGATTCTTGTTACGTTAATTTTATGGTTATTTATTGATTGCCGAAGTAAAAGGACATTCTTACAAGTCGGCGGAGGCGATCATTTTGTTGGTCTGTTTCTATTGCGTACCGCAATAATTTTTAACATGTGATTTCTCGTCTTATGACGTCATATAACAGAACTCGTCACGCGAGTGTGACGATGATAAAATTTGTCGTCCTATTAATATATATATAACAAATGAAGTCTGCTAAATAACTAGAAATACAGAATGGGCTGTTTTCCAAGTGAACGAGAAATTCGAAAAATCGGACGGGGCGATCTCGTGGAAATGCTTTCGTACCCTTTCGGAAAAGTGTAAAACGACTACTGCGTCGTTTTTCCGCATTCAAGGTCAATCAGAGTCCGTCTTAATTGGCGATCGCCCGAGCCGCGTTTATGCAGCGGGTTCTCAATCGGGCACGTTCTGCTCGACAGGGTACGAAGCTATGGATCATCATGGAGTACCTGGGTGGCGGCTCGGCCCTGGACTTGATGAAGGCCGGTAGCTTCGAAGAGATGCACATCGCCGTGATATTACGCGAGGTGCTCAAAGGGCTGGATTATCTGCACAGCGAGCGTAAGCTCCATCGAGATATTAAAGGTACGTCCGCTTGATAAGCCGCGAAGGGTGTTACTCGACGATGTCCAGCGTGTAGGTGTCGAGTCTTTTTACACTGGACGATTTAGCCAGATATATCGCGCGATATTGTGGACGTTTCATTAGGTCGGCGCGGATAGTTCGTAGGACAAAATTCAGGACGAAATCATCCATGGTTTCGTAGTTAAATGAAACTTTTTAAGTATCACAGCAGTCGCGTTAATTAAGCAAAGTTTTCCCGTTTCCTGTTTAATTACTAAATCGGTGCGAGATAGAATTTAAATGACGAACTTCTGGCACCAACCTATTCGATATTCTTGCCCCAAAAAATGAATAAAACTACGTTGTGAGATTAATCGGTATGGTCCAACTATACAGCGGCGAACGTCTTACTGAGTGAAATGGGCGACGTCAAGTTGGCCGACTTCGGCGTGGCCGGCCAGTTGACGAACACCACGAGCAAACGGAACACCTTCGTCGGTACGCCGTTCTGGATGGCACCCGAGGTCATTAAGCAGTCCGCTTATGATTCCAAGGTAATTATGTTCATGAAATTTCAATCGGGTCTTCCGCGAGAGCATATTTGGAAAAAGTGGAGAAGTGCTTTCAGTATCAATTAATTCGTTTCATTCTAGTACGTAATCCTAGAATCCTTTTTTCTGAACCAAATTCTACTTCTTGGAGAGAATTGGAGAATTTCAAGACGATACTTTAAACAAAAAAGTCCATTTTGCAAATAACTATGCAAATTTTTGAGTTAAAGATGCCTCTTCTATACCATTTCCAATTAATAACTCAAAATTTGATAAAATGATACAAGACTTTTTTGTCTGTATTAATCTGGACTACATAACGGATGGACTCACGCCGTGAGTCAGAGTTCTCACGACTTTTAATTTTGCTGAGAGCTTCTCTGAACAATTTCCTTTTCCTCAAGTTTCTGAGATATAAGCTTTTTTTCACGTACAATCGTGCTATTTTCATCTTCATTCTTTTCTCTCGCACACGCGCGGGTCACGCTTTCATTAGCGTGTCGTTAGCGCTTCGTCCGAGCACACAGCGCAAGTCCAAGAATGCTCATTCCACAGGCTGACATTTGGTCCCTGGGCATCACGGCGATCGAACTCGCGAAAGGGGAACCGCCTAACAGCGAACTGCATCCCATGAGGGTCCTCTTCCTAATACCCAAGAACAATCCGCCGCAGTTGACAGGGAATTACACGAAACAGTTCAAGGAATTCGTCGAGGCTTGCCTTAACAAAGACCCCGAGAACGTGAGTACACTATTAAATTGTCTCGACGCTTTGAGAACTCGCTCCCCCGATGCCATCGAATGTGATTTTTGTGCAAACGCTCGAAGAAGCGAACAATTTTTCCAAAGTGGAACTATATTAAATTTCTTCACGTAAGCAAGTTTTATCATTCTTGCTTATTGCGTGAGAATACGATACTAATTTCTTTTCCATGTACTAACTCTTATTCGTCCATTTTGCGCAGAGGCCAACGGCGAAGGAGTTGCTGAAGTTCCAGTTTATCCGAAAAGCGAAGAAGAACTCGTACCTAATCGACCTGATCGACAGGTACAAAAAGTGGAAGTCGCAGCGCAGCGAGGAGTCGGAGACCGAGAGTGAGAATTCGGACTCGTGAGTATCTCGCGATTTATGTTCCCGTCGGAATTCGGTACGAGCGATGTTGCGGCTAGACATGTTTGTAAACACCATACAGAATAGATGTTTCTTCGATTGCGACGATCTGTTGTTATTCGTATAGAAAATTTGTTAGTACGCGCGTTCTCGTCGAAACGTCGAGCGCTCTGGTAAAATTGTAACCGCGTTCTTGCGCTTTTCAGGGAGGAATCCAAGCAGGACAGCGACATGGACGAGCCGTGGATAATGACGGTGAAAGGCCCGCACGGGGTCAAAGGATCCGTGATGCCTATGCTGCCGCTGGACGAGCAGCCGACATCCTTGACCCTAACACACACGAATCACAGGTCCTCCAATCACAGTCAGGCGGGTAAGCCGCACGCGAACGGCGCCTCGCGATCGCCGCCGAAGGATTCCACGCTGAATCACTACAGAAGCGAGTCCCGAGATTCATTGCGCGATGGCCAAACGAAACCGGTACGTCGCGATCAATGACAAATATTGCTCATAAGTAATCAAAAAATGAAACGCATTTGAAAATTTACAGACAAGGCTTTTATTTTGCAAATATCGATGTAACATACGTTGTATTATACCTTAAACTGTGAGAAAAAAATATCTAAAAAATATGTATTCAGTGACCAACTTTATATAACATTATTAAAATCACTTTATTTATATATTTTAACATTGGGAACAAATATTTTTTTAATGAAAAATTTTCTTTTATGAAAGTAATCGTTTATACCATATAAACAATTTAGATTTAAGTAAATATGTTATATCACCGTCGAAAAAGTAGTTTTTATTTTCTTAATATTTTTTCTCTCAGCATGTCCAGATAACGTATTAAGAATGAGAAAATACTATTTATATACTAAACAATATTTCCAATTATATTACTATACATACTAAACAGTGCTCCAGTAGAAACTGACATAGTTTTAAAAAACCGCTTTTTTCCATTTTTCCGTGGAAAGGAATCAAAAATATCCGCAGGAAATATGGAAGAAACGTTTTCTTCGCAGGAAGGAACCGCTAAAATATTTGAAAATCCCGGTTTTTTCCAAGCCTTTAAAACTATAGAAACTAATGAGTAGAAGGATCTTACAAATATTTAATTACATAGGAATAGCTTGAATATTTTAACGTTCTTCCTCGTATCCTGATGTCTCCCTTTTCAGTCCCGACCACACGAGGCCGCGCCTCCACCACCGGTGGATACGAGAGAGAAGCGAGACGACCGAGACTATCGTGACTCCAGCCGGGAGTCCACGCTTAGAGAACCGAAAGAAATCCGTGACGGCCGCGAAAGAGACAGGGACGTCCGGGAGCGAGAACGGGACGGTAGAGGCAGGGACTTCAATACACGGGAGAAGAGGAGAAACAGCAAACCGGAAGTGCCCGTCGTCTCGATGGTCGATCACAGACCCAGCGAGGACAAGCAGAGGCCGAGGAGCTCGCAAGAGCTCAAGCATCCACGGAGCGTCGCTCTATCCGGCGTCGTTCTGCCTCTACTCTCCGAGGTATGGCGCCAATTAATTAACATACGCGTTCAGCCACAAAAATCAAATTAAATGTTTTCTTTTTTATTTAAATTTCGGAACACTCTCCAATAAGAGAGTTATTTTTTTAGTAACTCCATCCAACATTACACTGTCTATGTTATAATCTTGCATTCAATAATGTAAATGTTATATAACATTTGCATTGTTGAGTGCGAAATTATAACATAGATGTAATGTAACTGATGCTCAGTGTTGGAGTGATACATTTTCCTATTGGATACACGAGATATGTTGCAAAACTCATTGAAAAAAAAAATGTCGCCACCTTTCTATGATTGATTAACTATACACGGAACGAGAGAAATAAAGAACGATAGAAGCTTTAGCGTGAGTTTTTCGTGAACATTTTTATCGATTTCTCGCAGCTTCAACGAAAGCACCAATATTCGTCGAGAGACAATAACGGCGAAGGCGGCAGCGGCATCGGTAAGAACGGCGGCGCTATAGAGGAGCTGCGCGGCGCTTTCGAGTCGGCGGAACGCACGTCGCCGGGAATGACGGAGTCGCTTATTCGCGAACTGTTCAAATCTCTGCTTCCGCCCAGTCACTCGGAAGGCCGTCTGTCTATGCTGATGGAGAAGGTTATCTTGAGGTATCCGTCTAATAGATTCGAATCATCCCTCCTTTCCTTCTCTCCCTGAGTGGAACATTAGATCTATTAAAACAATTACTTCACCGAATGGCGCAAATAGTTTTTCCGCGTAACGCAATCTTTGGAAGTGTTTTATACTTATATATAACTGAATAAGAGATTATATGAAACTTATATTTGCATAGACGTAGTCAGGATTTCAGTGGGAGCGAAAATTTATTTTCACATAAATTTAGATATTATTTATTTAGAAAGAATCTTCCTACGTAACTGAAATGCGCCAAAATCATTGCAGGCGATGCAAGTATTGACGTCTACTGATGAAATTGAGAAATTTTCATTATACTAATTTTCATAAAACATTGTTGATCATTGGTTTCTGATTGCAAAAATCTAATCACGTGCTATAACTTTTTCGTGAAATGTTGATTATATATCAGTTATATTTCTTTGCTTTTAGGATCTTTATCATTTAATTGTTTTTTAAAATATGATGAAATTCAATGAAAGATAAATTATAGCATAGGGACATGAGAATTCAAGCATGTGTTTTAGCACCATTAACAATGTGAAATTATATATATATATATATATGTCTCTAATATACGAGGACAAGGTGAAAAGTTCTCGGCCTGACAATGAAAGACTGTGATTTTCAGTTAAAAAGCGATTTTATTTTTCTACATAATCTCCCTTGACTTCAACACACTTGGTCCAGCGTTTCTCCAACATAAGTATTCCTTCCCGGAAGTGAGATTCTGGAAGACTGTTAAAATATTCATCTACAGCCCTCTCAACTTCTTCATTGGACGCGAAGCGCTTTCCAGAAACAAATTTCTTCAGGTTTGGGAAGAGATGGAAGTCCGAGGGTGCCAAATCAGGAGAATAGGGGGGATGGCCGAGCAAATCGTACCTCAAATCCTGCAGTTTTCCCATTGCCAACACACTTTTGTGCGCAGGTGCGTTGTCGTGGTGAAAGATGATTTTTTTCCTCTTCTCGCGAATTTTGACATCGAGCTGGTCAAAAAGGTTAGAGTAATATTCGCCTGTAATTGTTCTGCCTTTTTCAAGGTAATCAATTAACAGGATCCCTTTGGCATCCCAAAACACACTGGCCATGACCTTTCCGGCAGATGCGATCGACTTCGCTTTCTTTGGCGCTGAACCACCGGCTTCCACCCACTGCTTCGACTGCTGTTTGTTTTCTGGCGTGTAGTGGTGGACCCATGTCTCATCCATGGTGACAAATCGCCGCACAAAATCGGTCGGATCCCTCTTGTATCGATCCAAACATTCCTGCGAATGTCGTTTGCGCATTTGCTTTTGATCCGCATTCAGCAAATGCGGCACCCATCTTGCGCAGAGCTTTCGCATACCTAATTCTTCGTGCAAGATGTTTCGCACCCTTTCTTCCGATATGCCCACGGCCTCAGCTATCTCACACACCTTTACTCGCCTATCGTCCAACACGATATTGTGCACCTTTTCGATAGTTTCCGGTGTGGTTGCAGTTTTTGGCCGTCCTTCACGTGGGTCATCTTCGAGCGACGTGCGACCACGTTTAAATTCAGCTGCCCACTTTTTAACGGTTGAGATTGAAGGAGCAGAGTTCCCGTAAACTTTTGTCAACTTCGGATGAATTTCCTTAGGGGTTAACCCATCCAAAACGAAGAATTTTATGACCGCACGATATTCAAATTTATCCATTTTAACGAAACACGCGCAAGACGTGTACTGCAAAGACTCGTTTACACAAACTACTTGAGCGAACAAGTTGAAGCTTGTCATACGAACTAATGATATGTGCGCGCAGGCAGGAAACGTAAACTTTCGCCGATTGGAATGCCATTTCTGGGTCAGGCCGAGAACTTTTCACCTTGCCCTCGTATATATATTATCGTAATATATATAGCACTAAAACATTAGTGCTTGATTCCTTATGACCCTATACTGATTTTATTTAATTGTTTTTCCTCACCAAAATTTGTGGAGGGGACAAGCGCCCATTTTCCCATACAGCATAAATCATGTGATTCTACAAACGTCCCAGAAATATTCGAGCATCCCTGGGACGTCTGTAAGATGTCTTTTGAACATTTGTGCTATATGGGTTGGCTACGCCTATGCATACATATAATATATTGCATTCATTCGCTTGATCCGATGTGCAGACGGTACAGATTGGAAAGCTCAATTCGCACAACTGAAAGAGCGGGAAGATTACTAACGCCATCCGGTGGTTTGATGTTTCTCGATGACGCTTTAAAATCACGTGTTACGTGTACCGATAACAACGAGTGTGTTCTTTCGTCTGTTTCAGGGATACGTAGGGACGCGAGAGGGCGAAGGTCCGCAAGAAATTGTGGTCCCAAAACATCCTGACGTTGTAAAACCATTCGTTATTTCTCTCGATTATCAACTTACCAATCAGCACGAGCCGAGCGTCATCGTCGATTCGAGTGGCGATTCCGAACGTGAAGGGAGCGCATTCGTCACTCCCCCTGTCCCCTTTATCCTACTTCTTCCCCGCAATCCTCGCCGTATAACCCGCTGATCTATGGAGACCATGTTACAACGAAGTCCATCGAAATTCTACGAAGTAGTCTATTGAACTGCCCCCCCCCCCCCCCCCCCCCCCCCCNCCCCCCCCCCCCCGCCCCGTCGCCACTTACCTACCTACCTCGCCGTAGGATAAAAATACGTAGACGGCAGACACACACGAAAACGTTGTGCCAGTGTTCTTGCAGTTCCTACTCGTCTAATTGTTATCGACGATCTTGTCCCGAACTACTTCGATTGGACTGCCACATTCGCGCGCTCGTCCGTTTCCTGTCGGCTGACAGTCCGTTTTACATCCGCGTATCACGATCATCGCTTTGTTTCCCGACTTCTTTTCCGGCTTTTTAATATCGTTGTTTTTAACGTCTTGAACTCCGTAATTTAAGTGTGAAGAGGACGTAAGATTATATTTTATACTGAGAAACGACAGCGCAAAAAAGCGAAACTTAATTCGCTTCGTCGTCGATGACGTATTCCTCTTGAAAATCATCGACAGAAAAGAAAAGCGAAACTGTCGGTCGATCTCTGTGCAACCTTAGATGGTTAGAACGTTCTTCGTTGCTGGTAGAAGTAAAATGAAAAGCGCGGTCAGTTGCACGAGTAACCTTAGAGCTTCTCCCGACAGCGTATTCGATTTTATATAGCTCTAGGACTTCCCCCACCTCGAAAGAGGAAAGGCTAAAAAAAAAAACAAGTAATAACGTTCTAGCGATTTTATGGCGATTATCAATTACTACGAGTAGAGAAAGGCGGAAATTAGATGACAGCTCGTTCGCGCGAGAAGGCTGAAACTTCCGTTTGCGCGATAGCGCCTGTCCGATAGGAACTCCTTGAAAATCTCTTTCATGTTCGGCGCGAGCACGATATCCGGCGATACGAGAGCGAAGAATTGTACAGACTCGGCAGAAGCGGATTATAGACGAGGAGTATTCGACGACTTTGTCTTGCCTCAATGTAGAATACGTCCGCGGCATGCACTATCGAGTCACACACACACACACACACACACACACACACACACACACACACGATCTAAATGAGAAGAAAGAAATGGAGGAAATCCCTGGAGCTACTAAGGGAGCTTCGAGGGCGGCGCTTCTACGACGATACGATGTTTTTACAAATAGAATATTTATTTAATAGTGCGTTTCGGTGAGAGAGAGAGAGAGAGAGAGAGAGAGAGAGAGAGAGAGAGTCCTGCAGCAGCCGAGCTAAAGAAAAAAAAAATGTGTTCTCAGAGTAGATTCCTTCCCGTTGCTTCCTACGCTAGTGCACGTTTCGGACGCGAAAAGAGCAAGTTTAAGAAGTGAGAGCGAGAGAGAGAGCTCTAGCGGTTAGCAGCTAGAGGCGTTGTAAATATGTATGTAGCGCGATAAGATAGTCTTATTGTTCTGATCGACGTCTTTACCAACCGGTCGCACAGCTCCGTTGAACGATCTTGTTACCCTCGAAGAAGAAAAAGAAGAGATATAATTCCTTTCCTCATAAGAGTCATCGTTCGTCATTAAGACACAGATGACAGACGACGCGTAGGCTACGTAGGCGAGTCGCCGTTGCAAACTTATTGGGGAGCTTTTTTCGTTTCGTCGGTGTAGTTTCCGCTTGTTGCATAAATCGCAGGTATAAACCGTTACACCGCAGCCGTGTTCCAACAGCCGCGCCGGCGACTACTTAGCAGCAAACTCAAGTGTGTATATATATGATATATATGTGTAAAATGATTATATATATATATATATATATATATAAACAAAATAGTATATACGATATATATATCATATACATGATATTCATGACACATGTGTGTATATATATATTATGATACACATGATATATACATGTATCACGGATATGATATGTGAGTAATATATGATATATATATAGACACAATACACACATATATATATGATATATGTATACACACATACATATATCACTGATTTGTAGTTATGTAAATCTCACTTTGGAAATCGTCGATGAGGAGCAACGCTATCCTAGAATTCTGTCGTCTCTAGTATACGTAGAATCGCGAAGGACGCTCCTATCTTTCCGCCGCGCCTCAATGAAATATCGCATATGTCATTTTAACCGGGAACGATAACGGAGTGATTGCACGTTAACGAACCATCGATCGCGAAACCACCCAGGCGTTCTGCGATGATGGTTTTGCGCGAGAGAGAGACATGAGATCACAGCATGAAGGTGCTTTTTCCAAGTTTCTTTGTTTCTCGGGAAAAGTTGACGTGGAATGACTCAACAATCGGACGGCACGAGAGTAGAGAGGGAAGTACGAGGAGGAGAGTCTCGCGAACTTGGAACGTGCGACGCACGTTTCGTTTTTACGACAAGTTTCGCCGTTCTTCCAGCTGTGAACTTTTGCGTCGAACAACATATAAATTCCCCTTGAGAGAAAGAACCCTTTGTTTCCACGATCGAGTCTGAGCTGCGATGACTCCCGGAGGGCGTCGACACTTAATCCACGTTGTTTGTATAAACTAATGTATTTTATAAAATATATTATATAGAAAAAAATTACACACACACATACGCGCGCGTGATAAGGATAGAGAGAGAAAGAGGAGTTACAGGACGTCATCTACGGGGTGGTTGCAGGAAAGTTTTCACAAGCAGAGGCACGCGAGATACAGAATACAATGACCATTCTGGCGATTTAAGGGATGATCGCGAGGGTAGGTGAGAAAGAGGGAAGAGAGTAACTTCTCGCGAGAATTTTTAGAGAGAGAGAGAGAGAATATTATACGGCGGAAATCGATACGTAAGACGGCAAGGAGACTTAAATACGCTACCGAGAACGCGATTACCGCGTCAATTAAGGGATTTGTTCGAATTTCAATGATATATTGCTCATACCCTTCGCCACGACAGATCGGCAGAAAATATTTTTCAATCGAGACGAGCCTTTTTTGTTCGAACGATTATCTTTCAGTACGAGAAGCAAAAAAAGCGACCGTGCAAAATATCCGAAATCTCTGCTACGCCTTTTCTCTGTCTACCGCCTTTCTACTTTTCCCGCCGCCCGCCTAGATGAAGAAGAGTACATTTCCGAGTACACGATATGTATCGCCGATTTTGCTTTTAGTTGAGTTACGTTAATTACTCGTTACGCTGTATCGTTAATGCTTTGTGTCGGCTGCACGGAAAAAAAAAATTAGCCTTAAAAATCAAGACAGATATTCTCATATACACACAAGAATATCATAATATTCTTAGAAGATTTTTAGTCTTGGATTGAGTGATTCAAGTGATACTTGCATCAATAGAAATTCAATCAAGTCAAGATGAAAAATCTTCCAAGAAGATTATAACATTCTTGATTGAAGATATGAGATCCGTTCTTGATTTGAAACTAATCCTCTTTCTGCGTGACCAAACGATTTCGTTACAATTTCTCGCGTTCGGTCGTGAGACAGTGATTTCCATCGCGCGCGAGCCGCTTTTACCGCTTCGTCTTATCTCATCATTTTCTCACGGCGATCGCTAGCCACAGTAGGCCTCGCTGCCATAAATAAATGCTTACACCGGCTGCGTCATGTCGAGTTCGCGAGGGAGAAAAGACTTATGGCTGTGTAAGCAGTACACGTTCGTTAGGGTGAAAGTGATCAGCCGCGGAGTAGCGATCGGTTTTTGGCGTCGAAACACGTCCTTGCTGTACACGCACGAAGGTTTAGGAGATGTTGAAAAACTCGCGCGATTTTCCCAACGTGTTGTCAGTCTTCCCCCGGTTCAAGCGTGTCGGCGACGAGAAGTGGGATTTCGTTGCAACTCATCTCACGGAGTGAATCCGGTTGCTCCGAAACACGCTTTAGCCTTTGCTCGACAAGACGCCGAGGACTGACGAGGACATGATCGGCGGAGAACGTTCGTAGAGCGGAACGTGTATCCCCGAGAGCCTTCTTATTTTACGCGTAGCCATACTTAATTCGTCTAAGGTACCGATTAATTTGTTTCTTCGAGAATGCGCGGGCTGACCGAACGCTCGTTCCTCCATTTTCTCGGATACACTGAGAGGAATGAGATGATTAATATGCCACTAATCATTGAAAACGATTAATTTCATTTAATTTTACTAAGTAATGGTCAACGGTTACTTTCGGCGCCGATCATTTATTCATTCTTCTATGTACACGTATCAGATTGTTGCATTGTAATAAGATTTAATACAAGAAATGGGTTCCCCGATTATGATTATTTCGGGATGCAATTATATAGTCGTAATACTTTATTTTTCTCAATGTAGATTACGACGTACGAGCGAACGAACGATGTCGAATTGTGATTTTCGACTTCTACCGAAGTTCGTTGCTTCTTCTTTAGCGTTTATTTACGTTAATCGAGCGAGATTTTCCAAATCCAGGATCATAGCAAGACAGCACGCGCACCCGTTCGTTTGTCAGCGGCCTCGAGAGAAGAGATCCGCTCACGAACCGCACCACATTCAATCCGAATTACGTGTCCTACTGTACCCAGCACTCTTCTTTGTATTATACTCTTAGCTACTATCCATCTAATATATTCAACATTATAACATTGTGGTAAAAAAGAAAAAAAAACTAATATCTTGGCGTAGAGAGTACACACACACACACACACACCCACATGTATATGTATATAATATATATATATTTTTTTTGTATTTTAATTCTACCTTGGCTGCGTTGGACTGTATTATACTGATTGTATGTGGCATGCTGAGGGCGTGTACAAATACGAAATAAAAATTAAATAAAACACGAAATGTAATTTACTTACTGAAATCTTATTCAAATTCACTATGTTCTTTTGTAGTCCAAAAATTTCTGTACTTCTGATTCTCAGTTTTCCAACTTTCGCATTTTGGTATCAAGAGAATATAATAAACAAAGAGGTAGAGTTTCCGGTGGAAAATTGTGAAAATTTGCGAATTTCTCATTCCCGGTTTCGTAATTTTCGCATTTCGTACCAGGAGAATATAAAGAATGAAAAGGTGATAAGAAATAAAGAAAAACTAGTTAAAATTCACTATCGTTTTTATTTTTATCTACATACAATACAAAAAAAACATTATAATGCAATATAATATAATAAGATATTATATATACATATCATATAATAGTAACAGAGTGTCTAACATAAGTAATTTAGTATAGCGAAGAATTTAAGCGTTAATAACTAGAGAATTTCAATCTTCTTTTTCTCCAAAATCTCACGCCCTTTTTATCAAACTTATATGAATATCATTTTATAATTTGTTTTGTTAATTACCACAAAAAACACGGTTTTAGCAGAATATTCACTTAATTGATCATATATAAATATATATAGTGAATTATATATGATTATATATAAACATATATATTTTAATATATATTACACATAGACAATTACATATTTTTATGCATGGACGTATTCTATAATTATATACGAGAAACTTGCTAGTGGGCGTCATCATATTCATTCACCTCTGCAGTATTTATCGCGAGATAAAAAGAGAACGACGCTTTCAGCGTACGAGCGAGCTGGACGAATGCAACTCAGGTGCAACGACCGTATCGTACATCTCAATTGTCCCTAGACGAAAGAGTTGCAATGGGAACGGATTCGAGGGAGCATGCGTTCATTCGGTTAACACGCCGTTAGCGAAGGCGCTTCGCGACGCAGCGCGCAGGCCCCGCGAAGCCGGGAGGGGCGCGGGAGAGCGTAGGGATTTTCTCGACGCATCCTCGATGTGCAGTAGTCGCCAGCATCCCGCGTGTGGTCGCGATCGAAGTACCAGGGGCGAGAGGGGGCGAAGAGGTGCCCATTCTGATCTTTTTATTTCTCTCCTCTCTCTCTCTCTCTCTCTTATTTGCTCGCTCTCCTCTCTGACAATTTCTCTGATAATTTCATCCTGCAACGTATCGCCGTGTTCGCCCTTCCGTGAGGAAAGAAGGAAACACAAAAAAACGCGCCCTGCCCGCGGCAATCTCCCTCTCTCTCTCTCTTCTTCTCTAGAGAGAGAGAGAGAGAGAGAGAAGACGGCGTGTCTCGCGACCGTCTTATAAATAGAGCGGTGCACCTCGGAGGACCCTTCCGCGCGCGTATCCCTCGGAGTGACCCCTGGGAAGCCGCTCCGCAGCGGGACCCGACGGACAAGTGCGTCGTCCATACCGTAGGCGGCACCGGTGGACGTCGCGATGAGAGAAGCGTCGTCGACGTTTCTTCCGCGCGTTTCGCGCGCAATCGACGTAACCGAGAGCAGCCCTTCGGCAAGAGAGACTCCGTTCCTTCGCAAGTATCGGCATGCGCGACGCTCGGCATCGAGCGCGCGACGTAGCGTAGAAAGGGCGTAAAGCGGAGTCTACGGTGAGAATTTCAGAAATTTACCAATCATTATTGATTTTTCTTCTAGAATTCGGCTGTGATTGGTCAATTTCTTTCTCACGCCTTAAATTCTCATTGTAGACTCCGCTTAATCCGCGCGCGTATCAAGTATCTGAAAAGCCGCCCCTGCAACGTAAATGTTATCACGCCTGCGTTCTTCGTCGCGATTCTTCGCCTCGTCAAGCCCCGACTTATTTTTTTCTCCTTCCCTCCCTCACGATGCCGTCGCATCGACAATCCTCGAGAATAGGCCGACACGTTGAATTATCTCCGGCGGATTACCGCGATCTCGACGCGAGTGCAAGGACCAATGTCCGAGATTTCACTGAGGTCGATTAGACCTTAATCGGAGTTTGCAGGAAACGGTCGGGTTGTAGTTTAATCGACGGTGGTGAAATTAGATGCATGTTTTTTTCCCCGAGATAAGATAAAAAGTACCTGAATTATTAAACCTAGACATTCTCATTATTTTCACCTTTAAATGATATGAATATTTAAACTTTCAACATAGAATATGTATATAGAAAAAAATTAATCAGTGATAGGTATTCTCATATATATAAGAATATTATAATACTTTTAGAAGATTGTTAGTCCTGAATTGAATGCAAGTAATACTTGCATCAGTACAAATGAAGATTATAACATTCTTCCTTATATATGAGAATATCTATTCTTGGTGAATTCTTCTTCCGTGTATATATTTATGGTTGAAAATTTAGATATTCGTAGTTAAAGTCCAGATTTCGTTCGGGAGCTTTGGCGTCGCGATTTAATAAGCGCCGGGTAACGGGACCACATGGGTCCCTCCCGTAATATACGATTCGTATAATCGACGAAGAATGTAGTATATTAGGGACGCGCGTTCGCACCGTTTCCACACACGTAGAGCTCGTTGGAGCGTGCGCCCCGCTGGACGGCGAGGCGAAATGACGCGTCAAAGCGGACCGAGAAAAGCGCGCGGATGCACGTCACAGCGATTTAAAGGCTTATCACTCCTGCCGCCGCGTAATTCAATAGCAACCGCTTTTCGTGTCGTTTCCCAACGGGATCCGCCGACGGTCGCGGTCCTTCCCCGCCAAAAGAACAGAAAATGACGTCTTTTATCTGGGCGACGATCATGTAATTTTTTTGTAAGACGAAAACGTGAAAAATGAACATTTTAATTGTTATTAAATTATAAAACTTTTCATAAATTCACGCTGGAAGATTAATAACTTCCTGGGGAATCGATGAATCTTCTTCTCTAACGTGAATTTATGAAAAATTATCTAATTTGAAAACATTTGGAATATGTTCATTTCACATAATATTATATTATAAAAATATTCTTAGAATATTAGAAAAAGTAATAATATAGAAAAATATGTATAAATAAAATAATTTTTTTTAGTACAAAACGTATTTTTTCAGAAAATTATTTCGACTTTATTTTAAATGATATTACGCGGTTATAGGGAATTACTTAAATGAAACTATCGACTAAAAATGAATGAAACATCGTTCGCCACCCAACATGAAGCATCGTCGAAAGGTCATGAGAAGCGTCTCATTTGCCGCGCTTGATCGTCTTTTCGAGCTTACAATCCTCTCGACACTGTGATGCCCGCTAAAGCGTGACGCTCGCGGACCGTGCACAGGTAGCCGCGCTTTAATTACTCATTTTTCTTCGCCGCTCCAAAAAGCCAGCGATGTGTAATAGAGCCGGGAGGATATGCAATAGGGTCTCGGTGGGGCTTTACGCGCGCTGCCGGAGCGAGCGCGCGCAGTGAATCTCCGCGTTGCGCGGAGCGCAGACGTGTCGCGTGCTTTTCTAAGCCCGAGAGTTTGTGAAATTCGGACAATCGACTCGCTGCTTTAGTCAGCGATAGTAACGTCGACCGACGCGGCGGTCGCTAAGCTAACTACTCGTTTCGAGCGCGCAAAGTTCGCTGATTCGGTGGAATTTTGGTTCCGCACGGGACTGACACTAAAAATAGACGGGCGAGCAACAGGGTCGTTATCGATCATCTCTCTTGAGATTCCGCGTGATAAGGCGAACTGATAAGAGCGCGACGCAGTCTTTTGAAATCTTCGAAACCACGTCGGATTGCACGGCGCAATAATCCCGACATATTATCGCAACCGAAAATGCAGCCTCGCGTTTCAATTCATTAGTGATATCAGGAGAAAAATATCGATCGAGACGTTTATTACGATATCGAGGTAATCTAATAAAAAATTATTATTTAACACGCGTGTCAAGTGAGCGGTATAAATACCCGGTGTTGGAAGAACCTGTCTTTACCTGTGCCGTTGGTACTGTCAAATGCGCGAGCAACGTGCAATAACAAACTCGTTTCTTCACGCTGTGCTGCGCCTCGCGCTCTGACGGAGCCGCGCAGTCGAGAGACTTCTGCGTAATTGTTTCTGGCGAAAAATATTACGGTTTCATCGTGAAAATTCGGCCAGGCTTCTCTGCGCGTCTTTGCAACGTTAAATGTCGTCGTGTTCTGAGATGTTTGTTTATGCAAAGGGTATTATGTGCTTATAAAGATTAGATGGGTAAAAAGTATAAATCTTTATCGTATTAATGGTATCTTCAGCTGAAGGGTTTAGAATCTCTGAATTGAGCGGTCAGCGCGACATTTAAGGTATTATGGACGAAGTAATATCTGAGATTTCTTATGAAGAAACGTGCAAATACTGGAACTCAACACCGAGTGCATACCAACTTAGCTTATTTTTCGTCATTTTTAGTGAATATCAACTAGAATGCTAAAATTGTGTTTGAGCTGAATTTTATTTTTAACGCATTTTCTCAATTAAATTTAAAACTGAAATTTTCTTTCCTGAAATAAGCTAACTTTTTAAATTAAATTTTAATTAGACCCCGTGTGGTATTCACAGTCAGATGTTGTAAGCGACGCATGCCAATAAACTTCTAGCTTTTACGTAAAAGATACTTCAAAAATTACTCGTCAGTAGAACTATTATATAGTGCTTCGCTTAGAGAAAAAACAAATTGAGAAACTTTGAAACAGAATTAATAAAGCTCGTCACGTGTCGGCACGTACAATCACGCGTTACACAGTAGATTCCACACACGACTTTTCAGGCATTCTCCGCGCCGTCCATTACAAACGTTCGATTCAACGTCGCCATCAAACGCGGGGAAAAGCTCGCCTGCCTCTCTTTCACACCGTATCGTTGCGACGATGATGCAATTACCAATCTCGATTTCGCGAGAGAAGTCAATCGGATCGGAAGAATTTTGCGCTCGGAAATCTGAGAAATGCCGTTGGGAGCTAATTAACTAAGAGATCGAACGAGTAAGAGAGTCGATCAAAAGGGACACCCTCTCGCTCTTCGAGCGCGAAACATTTTTTCATGCAAATGTGACTCGTAAAACAAATTCGTGGAATTCCGCGATCTCATTTATCCTGAGACGAGTCGGCCGCGTTCGAGGAATGCTCTCGCCGGTATTGACTTTGCGGTAGAGCAATTTGCATTCGCGCGACGGGAAAAAACGCGGAAGCGCATTCCGCAGCGCCCGCACCGGTGTAATTCCGCTCGCGATATTGCGCGTGCGTCGCCGCAGTTGGCGCGAATAATTAAGCGACCCGATTCGACGACTTTTTCCTCGATCATAGAGAAATCCCACGATTCGTTCATGTCAAAGTGGAGGATTTTCTGCGGAATTTTTTTTCTCTTTCTTTCATTTTATTTCTTTTTTTTCTAATTCTTTATTTCTTTTTTCTATCATTTTTCTTTTAAATCTACTTCTATAACTGATTTATAATAACTTTAATTATCTATATATATATATGCACATGCTGCGGTAACTCGATGACTCGAACTCATCAATATGCTTACCGCTCTTATGTATATTTCAAGTCTTTAGAGAGCTTGTCCTAGGACTACAATAAATGCTTTTATCTCTCTCTCTCTCTCTCTACTTTCGTTCCCTTTCTTTCCTACGTGTGTCGTCCTCGCGGTTAAATTTAGCTCCTTAACACGCGATTTTAGAGCACACCTCTGACCTTTCCTGAATATGTATATCATGGAATTTCTATAGAACGCGGCAGAAAGGACGGGAACGAGAAATTGGCACAGGTGGAGATTACATTGCGAGCGGTTGCCCCGAAAGGTCAGGCGACAACATTTCCGAATAGTTGTCTCAAGTTCGCCGAGAACGTTCGATTAACGAAAACGCGGGGATTAAATCAAGCCGCGTCTGCGCGCCGCAACACCTCGTTCGATAATGAACCGTCGATCTTCGAAAATCCGTCCGACCGCGAGAAGTGATCCGAAAATGAGGGCGAAGTCGCGTCGCGTCTACGTTGGGACGTCTCGCCCATGATGAAATTAATTTATTTCGCAATTAAACGGAATGAAAACTCGGGAGCGTCTGAAAACGCGCGAAGTACGAGTATACTACGTGCGAACAAGGGGACACCGTTAATTCGATCGGCACCGATTGACTCGCGTTGCGATTCGGGTCGAACGGACGTCGTTACGTTGCGTCGGGAAGTGCTCGGTGCTTAGATAAACAGAAGAAATGAACGGAGGAGAGAGAGGAGGCGAAACGTTTATCCGTGTGGTAAGAGCTGTAGTGAGATATAATGAAAGGAATAAGAAACACACACAAGGAATGCAATATAGAAAATTAGGAATAAGATATTATAAATACGCAATGGAGTAAAAAATAAGAGCGTTTTAAAACAAGATCATCATTTTTACTATTTTTTAATGAATCTCTGCTGTCATCATTAACACTTTTATCATTTCCTTGATACCTATCGATTGATTCAAACTGACTTTGAATCCTTGTAGAATTAAAGGTTCAACATAGAGCCAAAATTTCGGCTTGGAAAACCTTTCATCCGACAAATAAATTTTTAAATATTTTTTTCTCAGTATATTGTGAATTGTCTATATGTCGAAATTTCATTCCTGGCTCTTAATTTCCCGCCTTTAATTCCTTGCTCCTCATTCCTTTCATTGTGTTTTAGCCCTAATTGTTGTTCCTAATTGTAGTCCTATCATTCGGTTTCTTCAATCGAGGAACAATATATGCGAACACAGTGATTAAACCGCGCGTCAACACATCCGCAAGTTCTCGCAAAAGTCGCGAAAAATTCGCAGGCTGTCCTGTGATTTTTCTTTTCTACTTTTCGTGAAAATAGGAGAATATCTCTCTCTCTTTCTGCGCTGAAAGGAGGATCAATGTCGCGAGCATCAGTTTCACGCAGCGTGCGTTAGCGCGCATTATCTCGTCTTATTAATTGCAGTGTGACGTGTGCGAGTTTTTCATTGAAATAAATCAAGCCGAGAGAGGCGCGAAGTAACCTTGCCGCGAGCGAGTGCTCACGTGATCGTCCTTTTCTCGCCGAGGAGTCGAGACGCGCAACTTTTTATTCTCATCGAAGTGGCTCAGACGATGAGAGAGAGAGAGAGAGAGAGAGCAAAGTGGCGTAACGCGCGAACATGAATTCGAATGGCAAATTTCAAAAGTGCCGGGGAAGATCTCGCGACACGATCTAAGTAGCCTCGATTTTTCACCGGACAGCGGGCGTGTGCACGCGCGCGGACAATTCAATTAGGAGCGCGCGGAGGCGGAGTGCACGCGATCGCTCCGAGAGATAATTACGTCGCAGTCCTACGTGGGATGAATGAACGTGACCCGCGCATTTTTCCCTTCCTCCCGGGTCGCGACGCAGGGCGAGAGGGAGGGAGAAGGAGGAAGCGCCGAGAGAGAAGAAACGGACCGAAAGTGCGTGCGCGCTCGAGCGGAACGCGACGTCGCGCGATAAAGCCATAAACCCGTTGTGATATCGAACACCAAAGAGCGCACGTGGATCGTGGGTGCAACTCCTCTCATCATACAAGATAATTCCCTTTTCTACGCGACACCGTAGTTTTCCAATTTTACACGAGAGACTTTGCGGCGCGGGTGTATAGTGACGTATTTTTCTCTCTCGTGAACGAGAGGCGATAAGTGCGAAGATATGACGAGGGATCGTTATGATGGACGCGCGGAGAGAGAGAGATACCCGGACGGGATCGACTGATTCGAGAACCGAGCGTCGATCTCCCATCCTCGCCATGGAGCGCAGAGGCGGAGAGGCGCGACCGAAGATCGAGATCGTGCGCGTCTCGTCCATCGAACGAAGCAACTTCCGGCCGTTGGACGGGGTGCAGCTGCGCGCGACTTACAGCCACGTGCGCATGGGGACTTACTGTCCGGAACCGGAAGCCAAGCTGGCCGAGAACAAGCCGCCGATCGAACAGCAAGCGCGACGCTTCAAGAAGTGAGTATGCTTCGGGGACATCCTGTGTTGACATCGATAAGCCTTCGACAGACGGATGCTGAGCCGGGAAACAATTTTTCATATAACATTTTATATATTTTATACACAATTATATATAATTATATACGAAACATTTTTTCCCGGATGGTCAATCAGAAAAAGTTTACAACACTTTTCTCCCGGTGAGCTTCGCAACGCATCCAATAGGAAAATGTGTCTCCCTAGAATTACTAAAAAAAAAAACGAATTCTCCCACTGGATACGTTCCGAAACTCGTGCGAAAAAAATTTCTTTTCTGTGACTGACCATTTTTTATCGCGATAAGGGAATCGCGGCTGAGATAAGAATTTCGCCGAACGATCGATCGATAGCGTCGGTAAGTTCCCTTTATCTCGCTTTACATCGTATTTTAGCGATAACTCGGAAACTTGCTGTTAGCTGATGATACATAGGTGTGCGCGAAACATGATTACAGAGCTGAGAAATAACGCTTTTTTACAGAAACTTGGGACCAGTATCAAGACTGCTGAGACGTCGTCATCAGGCGACATGCCTTGCCACCAAATCCTGTGATAACATTTATAGCGTGAATAGAAATAGTAATTCCCTGGATTGGAGGGTCGGCCAGGGCGCTAATGAGCAAGGTAATCCATTCGCAATCAAATTCACGGCCATGATAAATCGGGTTCCTTTGCAGGTTTGCAAGCCAGACAGAGCAGCAGCCTGGACTGGAGGGTTGGACGCTCCGTCACTTTCGGTTCCAACAGGCTTCACTGGCGGGACGCGACGCGGAGCGCCGAGCAGCTTTCCCGGAGCGCGCCTCTCACTTCCGATCATCTTCAGACGCCGAGCGCGAGGTATGCTTCAAAGTCGCTCGAATAATTTACGATAAGCGCATTTCGCGCGGAAGACGAAACGAAATTCACCGACGGAGAGAAGGGATCATCGCCGCGGCTGATGCGTAGGAGGACGTTGCATTGGAAACAGTCGTTAATTTAGCAAAAAGAAAGGAAAGGCGCGATGTTAAATTCGCGCGCGAGAAGATGAGGGATAAATTGATTACGGCGGTGATGGAGAACAATTAACGAAGACCGCCCGTGCTATAGGCAGCTTTCGTTCGACACAGTTTCGCCACTTATAGGCGCGGCTGAATTCCTCGTCAGAATTTCATGAGATGAGACACGATCGATGGATGACGTGACGAAGATATTGTGCACAGGGAAAAAGGATTGGTCGAATTGACGCGAATGAATCGAACGAAGGAAACTACTTCGTATAGATTAAATTCGATTATTAAGGAAATTCTCTTCGGTCAAAACGCATTCATTGTCATCACATTAAATCAATTAAACATTTTTCACCAAGTCGTAACGCTGTTCATTCGTCAAATCGGTCATGGGAGCGATTTAACTGTCGAAAGAGAAAAGCGAATTTTTTGGAAAAGTAACAAAATAGTGAGTCAACTTTCAAAGAAGTAATAATTTGTACGTTGACTCGCTCTCATCATAGATCATTGAGAATTCAGCAGAAGTCGGCGCTCAACACGCGCCGGGCTAATTTTACGCTATTTGTCATCCACGCCACGTGGTGACCCATCCTGAGCCAAATTTGATTCGTCAAACAACGCGTGTCTCACAATAATGATCACTTCATATTTCACTTTGAAGCTAAACGAACGGAACGTATTAATGATTATTGCTTCTATAATTGGGGTATTCTTCTAGATCTTTATCAAGGATTCAAAAGTGTACTTTATTAGTGCGTCGGCTTTTACTGACTAATGCCGCTATTTTCCAATCTTGATCTCCAAAGGATGAGAGAGATAGGCTGGCACGAATATCGTACAGGATATGAACGCAACAATATTACCTTAGATCGAAACTCGTGTCGTTGCTGAGGCGACTTTCTCCGCGCCTGTCCCGTCCCGGAAGCAAAGGCTCCCTGCAATCGTCACCGACGATTTGTCCCTGGGTCCAAGTCGAATATTCGACGGAATCGATCGAGGGCGGCAGGCGGGAGGAGTCGCAGGAGAGCGACGCCAGCTTCCAGCAGGAGCTGCAACTGAATGAGCTGCGGAAACGAATGGCCGGGATCGCCTCCACATCGCAGGTAGACCAGAGCAGAGATCCCTCCGTCGTTCGCGATAATCGACTAACGTCTAATTACGAGCTCGTTGTGAGTTAATCGAATGTTAGTCGAGACGGACCGTTAACCCGACAAATATGTAAACACACGGTACGATTGATCAATTTAGATCGAATGCTAAACATGTCTTTCCGCAAATTGAAGCATACGCGATGTACGTTATTAACTAAATAAATTTTTCTTTCCCTTAACAGTTATAGTAGTAAAATTATAAAACCAAGCAGCCAATCACAGAGTTTAGTTAAAGTCATCCTTAACGCTCTATCATGCATCTAGAATAAGAACGCTGCGAGTTGAGTTTACGTTTCGGCATGCCACCGACCTTAGGAGCGTAACACTTTGAAAAACATAAACAGTGAGATATTACCGAACGAACAAACCAACTTATTCTCGATGCAGCCAGGGGCTCTCGAGCAGCGATCGCACGATTACTTAAAGAATGTCCGATGAAGTCACGGAACCGTATTGTATAGGTGCGCCCGTTAATAGTTTCCGGCGTGATCGCTCGAAATAGAAGACGTTCGCGCAGACAAAGTTCCCCGGCGACGAAATCACAACGCTGATATGCTAAAACGGCCTGTCTCGTGTTAGGTCACCGCGAAGGCCGTCAAGGATGGCGCGGAACAGCACAGCCTGCCACGACCCAGGATCCAAGTGCAGGAGCCCGAACCTGAGTATAATCATCACGTTCGCAAAGCGTAAGCCTCGCTTTTCTTTCTATATTTCTTTTTCCCGATCCCTTTCCCTGCACGAATTGCAAAACCTTAGGACCGGTGTTGATTTTGCGTGGAATGCTATTCGAAGCGTGCGAATCACGCGTTTTCCCACAATACACACGTGTTTTGAGTTGCGTGTTCAGTTTCCTTCCTCCTACTACACGCATCACTTACATTCGAGGATGGCCGAGAGAAAAGTTTCCGATGTAGCAGGTAACAACAACGACGTACGCGCGAAGTACCGAGGTTTGCTCAATAAGAGCGTGACCGACAGAACTTTCAAACTATTAAAAAATTAAAAAAAATTATATATATATACAATCAACACTTTTAACCTATTTCAAACCGGGCTGCAAAAATATTGAGATCTATGGGATCCAAGTACCGTTTTAGAGTAAAAAGTGGAACTCTAGAGAAGTCAAAAAATGTAAAATCAGAATTTTCCGACCGGCCGTTTTCTTCCCAGAAAATAGTCGGAACATCTACCTTGAGTGACATCTGGCGTACACTTGGTGAATTATAACAGGAATCATTATTTTCAACCATTTGAACTTTAAGTAACATCATTATTTTTGTCAATTTTTTTTTGTTACTATTTTTAATTAATTAGTTGAAAAAATAAAACAATGAATTAAAAAGGTATATGTTGCAAGGTTATTTTCCACCTCCACTTATCGCCGAAGATGAGTAATGACTTTATTTTCCGGAAAGCAAAAGTCGAAACTGTATTTCAGTAACAAGGCCAGAATCTATCTTTATTATCTACCTTTATTATAGACAAACAAAGTTTTAAAGATAAGTAAATTTGCCGTTCCTAGGAATGAAGAAACAAAATGAATTAAGTCACTCAATCACCGCCGTTGTCGGTTTATTGTCTAACATCTTCGAAGCGTACTTTCTATTAATTTTACAGCATATTTTCGAGATAAAGATCGCCATATTGAACAAATCTATTTCATCATATACATTTTTTCCACGCAATTTCATCTTCATTAATATTCAGACATTTTCAATTGAACTTACGTCTAATGACTATGATAGCTAGTTTAGCGTTTCAACGTTATATTTTTTCTTCCATTGGGAGCAAAGACTCCAATGTTTTGGGTCGTTGTCTTCTTGAAAGATCCAATCTTTACTTCGAACCACTTTTTAGCAAATGGTATTAATGCTCACTGATAAATTCTGACTAATCTCTTGGCACTGAAATTCTCGGTACGGTAGACGAACTAGATCACAGAGAAAATCGGATCAATATAAACTTCGAGACTTTCTGTTTCAAACGTTTTATCGTGCCAGTTATCTCTGTGCGCTTCTCCCACACTCGTTTGAAAAAAACTAACGACACTGTCTCAAAGCTTATATCGATTCGGTTTATTCTATACTCCGACGTTAAATACGTCGTTCTCTCAGCAAAAGGCAAATAATAACTTTCTGTACAATGCGTTCTTTTACCTGCTCGTTCAAAAGTTCTCGACGTTTTCCAACAGAAATTTGTCTTATCAGACAGACTGTATGTTGAAACTTCTCTCTCAGGCTTTCCTCTTTGGACACGACCCTCCGCTACTCACGACTTGGGCAAGAACGTTTGCTGTAACTCTCGCGAGTGAAACGAAGGATTCTTTCACACCATGTATATAGCGCATCCAATAAACGAATGTCTACGTTCCTACGTTATGATCTTGAAACTCGAGCGAAATCTCGAAGTCTTCGCGTGTTTGCGAAACGCTTGCATATTTGAATTTTAAGAATTTCTTAATATAGAGAACTTGATATTACTGTTGCTCTATTCGCATATTTTCTCTCGGAAATACCGCTTAAGTTTGCTGACGTGCACGCGTGTAGCTTTCGCGTTTGCCACGCGAGACCACCGCAAATACCGGTTGAATTCTTTTAATATACAAATATTACACGACGTATACATACGATTTATTTGCAAAGTAAATATTAATTTTCTATGACACGACAAAGCATATTTATCGTATTTATTGTAACGACACAAATTAGTGAGATCATTAATTCGAAACATTCCCGAGATGCATCTCATGTCACGAGTTATTTCTTATGATCTCCATCACGATCAATATACCGCTGAAGTTCGGCAGTCTATTTCTGTCAGGCATGCGACTACTGGTGGTACGTGCATATTAAATTGTAGAAATAACCTTTGCAGTAATGATTGACGTAATGATGAACACGACAGATACTCGGTGATTTGTAGACCAGGCAAAGGTGATTGTCCTTCATCGGGACGTGAACCAATTCGCCGTTCGGCTCGAGGGGATCCACATAATCTATCACATCCTTGAGTTCTTTCTTGTCGCTGGTATGAAACTGTATTATCAGGTCAAGCTCACCAGACTCCTCGGAGTTTTCCTTGTCTCCTTCAACCTCCTCCCCGTCTTCTTTCTCTTCCCCCTCCTTCTTATCAGCGCTGTCATCCGAGTCCATGCTACTCGGCTCGCTCTCCATAGAATACGAAGAATCGTCGGAGGATTCCAGACGGGCTACCTTCGATTCGTTCGGAGACTGTGTGCCCAACTTCCTCTTCTGGCTTCTCAATGTGACGCGCTTGGTATTATCGATTTCATTGTCGGTCGACGACACCGCTGATTCGTTCTCGTTAGCGTTCGTAGAATCCGTTCTATCAACTATCAATGTGTAGCAGCCCTGCGACCATCTTTGCAATTCTATCGTCATCTTGGGCTTCATTGACTCGTCGTCGGGCGACAAATCGAGCTCCGTGTAGTCCTTGAGCTGTTTAAAGAAAGAGATAGACTTAAATATATTGTAGAATTCTTTCAAGAGGTACGGCAAGGTCTGCTCGTCGGCCACCTCGTAGCGACGTTCATCCGCAGGGCCGACTATTCGCCATTGGATATCCTGCGAAGTCAAATCGGCAGAGATCGCTTCGTACAGGTCTTGTTTCAAGAAGCCCTGAAGAAGTATGTAGGAATTATCTTCGACTATTTCCTGAATCTGCCGGGCGATGGTGGAAGTCAGATAATTCTCCGATATCCAAAGATCCAAGTCTACTGTCTCTTCGTTCGGTTCAATGAAATCCATAGTCTGTATAGGCCTAGGCGGCCTATGGGCATTCCTCTTGGGACCGTGAAACCAGCCGTTAATCGACCATCTTATCTTTTTCTTAGCCATAATCTCGGCTACTTGATGGTAGGAGTTATCTACGACTTCGAAGAAAACGAAGGAATTGTATTCCGGCACTATTGATCTCACCACGTCTCTCGGGCAACCGTTCTCGTCCGTGTCGAAAAGATCCAAAGCACCTCCGTCCTCGACAGACCACTCGTCCATCAGGTACAATATGAAAGCTATTCTTCTGTCCTGCAAGTTATCATCGTGGCACAACAAATGATCCGTGTCGAAGTACATAGAGCCTGACATCGAGAGCTTCTCATTTAGTGTGATGCCTGTGTTCCGCTTCATCCACAGCGCCACATCGTCCCGAAAGACGTCACGTAGCTCATTCACGTACTCACTTTCGATGATGCTCAGATCGACTGTCTGCTTGAACTGGTAGAGATCGACGACTTTGCGCTTAAATTTCATATTTAACAGCTCCTCCCTCACTTTCTGCAGGAAGTCCTCGTCCCTTACGAAGTTTGATATTTTGCAGATTCTGAAGGGTTTCGTCATGAACTCGATATCGGTGGTTTTCAAGTCACTGAAGCTGTGCCAGTGTTTCGAGAATGTCTCTTGAAACTTACTGCAGATCACATGTTTGGAGAGAAGTGAATGTTCGTCTGGCTGTGTGTCAGCCATACTTTCTCCGTAACACCTGTAGTCGTGTCCCTCAATTCAATCTCCTTTCGATCTTCTTCTTACACAGCAGTCCTACTTGGTTCAAAGCAAACACATTATCGCTATGCTCTAGGGAATTCTCTCAACTACAAATCTTTTCTCCTTTTGGTGCAAGAATCATGTTTTATTCCCTGCGGCTCTGGTCGAATGTGTAGACTCACAATGCTGTGACCATTCTTCTCTGACAGTTTTCGAGAATAATATACGATTGTCAAATATATCAAAAGCATACCATTAACCTCTCGAGTCGTCAATTCGTCAGCACGGGTCCTAGGCGATGTTTCCTCTCGTCGCGACAATTTCGACGTCGTGATGTTCCGTTGTGTTCATCGAATAGTCGCTGTGTGGGGTCCACGTGGTTGGTCGTGCCACATGTAGTGCTCTGCAAAGAAGATCCCATTGGTTGTTTAATAACCGTTTAATACTGACATGACATGAAGTGGCGCCGGTGATATCGGACGTACGTATTTAAGACGTACGCGTCGCACTTACCGTGAAATTGATGACGATGCCTGAATTTCGAGAAGCACACTTCGCGACACTCAGTCACTGACTGATCCGTGCTACTAACCTTGCGGAAAACATCCATCCAATCAGTTACGCGCGTTCTCGACGCCCCCGGCAAACAATATATCGGGTCTAAACGTCGCGGAATATAACTTTCACCTCTACGAGATTAATTAATTCATCTGGAACATATACGCTTAAAGATGACCATTGTATGAAATGTTATAAATATGGAGTAAATAAGTGTTGAGGTATACGTGATAACGCTGCCTTAACGTTTATCGGGTCAAGGGACATTTGGGTTTTTCGAGGTAACATTTTTTGTAACACTTGCATGCAACATTTCTGTATTTTTGTGTTAATTTCATACAAGATGAATATGTTGAAAAGTGCCGTAAATATTATGTCAAGAATTAATATAAAATTAACACGTCAATCGACACACTGAAGTAATGTTATTTCAACACTCCCGGATATCGACTCAACACAAAATATTGAGGCAACACAATAAGTTAAATCAGCACGAGGGTATAGATTTTAGCAAATATTTTTGTACGATCTTACGTGTCGTTTCATCGATATCGCCGAAATGATCGCACGTACGTTCCCTTCAAAGTTCGCGCGCGATGGGCTGGCGCGGACCGCCAGACGTCGTTGGCGCCGCGGTCACAGGCAACATGGCGGGCGCGTGTCGCGTTTGACGGGTGCCGTTGTGGTTCCATCTCGAGCGCAAAGCGGTGCGTGCGGTGCATCCGGCCTTGCCGCGGGGACACGTCATCCTGGAGCGTCGAGGAGCGCGCTTGAATCGTGAGTAAATAAATATCATTTCCGCATAACTGCGTTATGACAAGCCTTTCGCGTTACACGGCAGCAACGATTTCGCTCGATCCCTTCTTCCCCCGGCGATTCCCTCTCTCTCCCTCTCAATTCGCATTTCTGCACGTCGCTTATCCGATCGCGAGGGTGGGGTCCTTCCGCAGCCACGGCCAGGTAAACACGCGCTCCAGGACACACGGTGTCCCCGGGGAAAGACAAAGAGAGAGAGAGAGATAGCTCTCGTCAGTGTCCTCTCGCTGCTGTTGGTGGGTTCCGCTCGCCCAGGATCGTCGATCGCGCGGGCGTTCGCAGGTATATTTTCACACATTCGGGAAATTTCAAGTTGTTACAACGAGAGACAACCGGTTTCAAGTATAAAGGACACCTGAGTTCCCGGCTGTGATACAAAATGTCCTTAGTTGAAATTTCTCCTTCGCAGAGGTTACAATTTTGTTTACGCGTGTCGAGCGGCAGGTGTTTGTCTGCGTCCGTTGTCGCGAGAGAGATATTCGGCGAGGCCGGCGATCACCGACGGTCTGTTCAGTCAGCGTGTCGCCTTTTACGGACGCGCGTTCTCGCGGAGTTACTCGTTCCATACGACAGTCACTTGCCGAACGCAAGTCACCGATCGATGACTCGCCGAAGAGAACGACCAGAAGGAGGCGATCATTATACTCCGGCGTAGTCAGACGGCTCTCTCTCTCTGGCTTGTGGGATTATATCCGACCGGCCTTGAATCGTGCTGACGACTTTCCTCGCGACCTCTCCGGTTATCCTCTCGCGAGGAACGGCACATCGAATTTTGAAACTCCTTCGCGAACGTGTCGGCATTCTGCGGTTCTTCTGCTTCCACCTGGTCTCCTCCCCTCTTTCTCTTTGGGCCCCTTTTGCCGTGCGCGATATCGTCCAAGATAGTCGCGGAGAGCAGCTTAACGTCGCATATTGAACTAGTAGTCGCTACGTTTTTCCCCCAATTCGCAGATTGCGCGACTACTATTGATCAGCGCGCGCGCGCGTGTGTGTTTGTGTGTGTGCACACCTTCGGCGCCGTTTTTCTTATAGTCCGTTCTGATACCCCGCGTACGGCGACGTCCACCGTCGCTGTGGTGAAAATTCGAGATCGATTCATTAGTTCGTTTCTCAGGACACTTCCGGCTGTGATATTTTTATATATCTTCCACATGATCTTGAATTTTCAAATCGAGGATTCTTCAGCCCGCAGGTGAGAGACAACAGTTGTCGCGGCTATATCGTATATTTCCGCATCGAAAATCCGAGCTTCTCTCGAGAGCCCCGAGTTTGTGCAAAGAGATCGTGAAGTGCAAGTTATAACTCAGCCAATCGAGAGCAACGTGATCCCGTGATCGAGGTCGTCCGATTGGTCGAATTCTAATCAGCAATTTGCGATCCTCACAACACGTCCGTGCGACGAGGGCTTTTAAATCAGTCCTCACAGGAGCGTAGCGCTTGACACGTTGAATGTCGCAGCAATGGTAGTGTCATCGGTTGTGTATAAAATGTCATTAATTGCGTCTGCCAGATTGGCCACGTGAAAAATTTCGTGGGATTTTCCGAAATAATTCTGAATTCTAGTTGCGAAATGTAAGTATTTGCATTTAACACACTTGCGTGCTATAAAGTATATACATGAAGAAAAATATTTTGCTGGCGTAGTAAATTGCTATGACAACGAAAAATTTGACTGCAAAAAGATTTGTGCAGAATATTATAACAACATATATATGTAACTTTACCGTTAACACTATAGTAACACTTACTATAAAATTGGTTTTCCTGACTGTGATTCTTTCACTATGATGCTTATAATTACAAATACCAAATGTTTTTCTTTTAATAATGTGGTTTTGCAACAATGGCAAAATTATTCTTCCTCCTATGTGCATGGGAAAGTCTGAGAAGATTTATATGCGAGAAAGAGAAAGGGGAGCCAACGAAACAAACCGAAAGATACGTATATTCCGAATCACGTTTATTCACCGTATCTTCAGTATAATTCAATTATCGGCGAGGTTTTTGCACAATCGGCGGAAATTAGCGCGGCAATCAACGTGTCGGAGATGATGATCGACGCGTCGTTGGGAAAAAGAACGCTCTCGCGATAGAAGAGGGGAGGGATTCCTAATCGGTAATCGCATTTGCCACGATGAGGTGGGTCATTATCCTTTCTCCCCTGGTCCCTCGTCGACGGAACACTCCTCCGAGCGAGTGGCGAGTTTAATGATTGCGCCACTTTGCTCGCTGAACTGTCAGTCGCGCCGTTAAAGCGTCGTTGAAGTTCGCGGTATGTCGATTAATGCGACCGTACGCGCGAACCGTTACGCGCGTCTCGCGAGTACGCGGAGGAAGTGAGATATACAACCACGCACGCGTACACACGACTGTATTATTTATTCGTCCTTTTTCGCTCGGTTAGCGGTGTGGACTCAGCGATTTCCAGTGGTGACGATACGGTCGATATTGCCGTTTCTCGGCTCGAATTCGCCGATTAAGACCGGCTGTTTATTATTCAACGCGTTACCCGCTCATCACTTCCCTTGTTTTGTGATGAATCGTTGAGCAGACGTCGATCAATCTGCTCTTTCGATTCCGGTTCTCGACAGACGGGATCTGTCTTACTTTCTGATCTCGCAGGCGTTAATTCGCTTGTTATGAGATTGTATCGAGAAGTTTAACCCTTTACGGTTAATCCAACAGATGTGTGAAATTGGCATCTGATACACGAAGGAAAATTAATGTCAAAATTCAAACCTCGTATTTTCATATATACGAGAGTAGTCTGAAAAGTTTTGAGCCTCAAATGAAAATGGCGTTACTCGTCAAAATCATTTTGGTACTACAATCGTACAGGCTTTGAAAAATATTTGCGAAAATTTCAGCCATTTTGGACGCTCAGTTGTTTGACAGTCGTTTGTGTCAATCGATTTCAGTATATTTTTCTTTACTTCTGAAGAAGATCTTCAGAAATAAGCCATTTTTTTTTTTTTTATATAAAGTACAGTCTATCGCTTTCTGTGCGTTCATTAGCTCATAAAAAATAATTAATTCCTTATTACCTGTAAATTGCAAATTTTGCAAGATGGTACATGACTTTTCTGCTTAGTTTAACACGTTCTACTTTCATACGAGCGCTTGGCAAAAAGACGTCCTGTATAAGCAAGAAGATATAAAATCGTATGAAGATAGTTTTTACATCAAAATATTTCATATAGATTCCATTAAAAATGTCATATTCTTGTTATTCAAGAATCAGTTTTATATTGATATCTTCAAATTCATACAATAGAAGGATCTTAAAGTCTACTCATCTCTTCGGAGCAGTCGCGTCGGCTCGCAAGTCCGCACTTATTTATTGTGTAACGGTGGTGCCATTAACCGCACCGAGGGTTACCCCGGTGACCCTGTTAGCGTTTATTTCTTCGCCAGCTCGCATTGTGTCGATCATGTCGACGACGCGCTTCGCGTATAAGAGGCAAGGATAACTTCCTGCCCTCTCCCCCCTCTCCCCCCAACGCGCAATGCAGCTGATTTTACGTACGCACTCCCGCCAATATCCAGAACGTAACAGGTTCTTTTATGGTGCCCCCTCCTTCCTCCCTTCGTCAGCTTTCCGCCTCCTCGCATAATTTATCGCTTTCGCGTATGTGGGCGAACGCGTGCGCGCTAGAAAGCACGAGAGGCCGTCCCGTGCTCTCCCTTTTTCGGAAATCCGTTTCCCTTTTCCCCCTTTTTTTTGCCGTCGCGATGTGCCACAAGAGGAAGGGGGCAGATTCGCAACCGTACGTCTCTTTCCCGGGGCATCCTATCATTGTCCTTCCTACGAGCGTTCATCGGGTACGAGAGGCGAGAACGCGTCTCTGTGGAAATTCGTTTCATAACGTTGTACCATTTAAAAATGAAAAAAGGAAGAGGGACAATCGATCGTGAGTTGCTCCGGAATAGCGGACGCGATTTATTTCGCGTCTGCATTCCGGAACGTCACGCACGCACGCTGAATTGCACACTATTGGGACATGAGGCGCAGAAGCGCGAAAATTCTGGCACACTATTACAAGCATGCGATACCGCGGAGAGAAAGATATATATATATATATTTTAATGAATGTTAACGAATCATCCCGCATTGTCGCTCACTTGACAAACACGCTCGTATTGCACTGTCTTTAATATTGGGTCGAATCATAAATAACCGCCGACGAAGATACTGCGAATATATCGATTCTTTGCCGGATACTCGTGGAAAGAATCGCCCAGTCGCCCCCATCAATTGGGGGAATGCGAGTCATTATTGATAATGACGAATATACACATAT